AAGTCTATAGCTATACAAATCTGTACAAATCCACTGACATCATTTCTACCTAAAACTCAAACTCTACAATTTTGGAAAAAACACTTTATAGGGATTGCGTTTAGTATTAAAAATAAAAATTTATCAGTTTAAGTTAAGTGATTTTTTGGGGAGAAAGTTTAAAAAATCATTTAACATAATCAAAAAATTAAACAGCTGTATTTTCAATAGAATAATCATCCCCTTCGATTTCGCATGAGAACCTTTGGTCCTTGATGGTTAGTGTTCTGTCAAACACCTGTCTGCACTTTGTTCCCGTGCTCTCCACCAGGCTGCAGTAGTGCGGGGCGCCTCGTACACTCTGGAGCTCCGGATTGTAGAATGTACAATGAAGGCGAGCAAGCTAGCTAGGCCCGGACAGTCGATCAAGCTTTGTTCTCTATCGGTTAATTAATATTCATAATTTACCTCGATTTAATTAATTCCGCCAGTCATTTTTCATCACAAAGACGTAAGTAATAGCATTTTTTTATATTTCCACTCACTATTTCTACTGTATTGTGATCTTCTAGTTGGTGACATGTGACCTACATAACGCATGTGGACTTTTTATTGATAGCGTTTTATGGATGAAGTTTGTGAATGAAATTTTTATTTTAAATTGCGTGTTGTATGGCTGTGGTGTTTTTAACGTGTTTTTTTATGGCAAAACTAACGTAACAAAGTTATTACTGTATTGATTTTCTAGAGGGTTTTCGAAGATATGCTACTAGAATTACTGTAGAAGATTGTGTTATTAGGATTAATTTAATTGGTGTAATTATTATTTTAAAATTCACATCATTAAATTTATTGGGAGAATTTTTTTATTGAAAATATTTGTAATCTTTTTCAAGTTTTAACATTACCTACATAATTTTGTTTAAACTTTTAACAGTCAATTTTAATCAACCCAAAACTAATAGCATAGCAACAATTGGGTAATTTACTACGAGATATAATATTTTCATCAGTTTTCACGACAGCTTCGCCTGTGTTCTACCGTGTCAGAACAATTACTAAACATCAATCGTTTCCCGTTTTAGTTCTTTCATTACTTAACTATCGGAATTCCTCCCTCCGTCTATCATCAGGTCTCCTTTGCCCCGTTCGGGAATCGATGCGCTGTTGCCATGGCAACCGTTGTAGGGACCAACGGGCTTCATTTACTTAGTCGTTCTCTTCCACCTCGTTATCGTTGTCTCTACCCACCGTTCTACGAATTTCAATCTAAAAAGTTTACATATAATGTTACGCGATCAATATTAACACGGACCAAATTCCAAAATAGGGGTTTTGGTTTAAAAGAATATTCCGTAGGAAATTGATCGTTGGTAATTAGAACCTGCACGCAGTCGCGAGCGAACAAAGAGTCGAGTAAATAAAAATCTCTCACCGGGAGAAATATGTTATTTTAAACTTTCTTTGTCAGACCACAAGTTATTCGGTTAGCAAGATGTAGTTCGACAAAATATTTAATTTGGTTTTATTTTGAAATTACGATGAAGTCAACCGCTTGAGATATGTGAAATCATTTTATATCTTTTCGTGTAAAGCGGAATAGATATAGCAATACTATAAATAATACTACAATACTACTTTGATTTGCGTTCAATTAGTATATTTTAACACAAAATATTCGAGTTTTAGTATTTTTATTCATTAAGGGCACCTTCTTTGGGTACAGTATAGCTATAATATCACATTTACTTTTTAATAGGCTTAGTAGTGTAACTTCGTTTGAAAAGGCAAATATATAAAATGTTTATATTAATATTTGTATTCACAAATAGAAAAAATAAATATACGGCAAATGAGTTTTCATCACTCCGTAACGAAAGTAACTATTTTCGATAACAGCTGACATCAATGAAAGTAGTCATTTCCCAAGCTCTAATTTAGAGCGAGGGAAAATCGATCAGCTGATTTTCCCTCGCTCTAAATTTACTTTCCCTCGCTCTCAATTAGTTCTCCATTTATTCACTATGCGCGCTAGTGTTTTGTTACGGTTTAATTTAATTATTTGAATCAGCTGTATGTAGGTATTTTTAAAAGTTGATTTATTTTCATGTTTAAACCAAATTTATTGAGAAATATACGTAGATTTCCTTTTAGAAGATTTTATTTTATTTTGATTTTCAATCAAATTAATTGAGAAATAAAATAGTTGTAATATTACTGAGGTCTGCTATTCTGAGTTTGTATATTTATGCGTCGTGATGAAAATTATCGTTCATAACTCGTACCGAAAGTTATTATCCGGCACTTGCTCCATTATTCCCGTCCTCGGCTTCGCCTCGTACGTGAAAATAGTTCTCACATACTCGGCTTCGCCTCGCACGTGAAATTCGGGTTCCCTGTGTTCGGCTTCGCCTCACACAAAAACTTGAGCGCGCGACGGAAAATGCCACTTTCGGTCCTAGTAATGAAATATACTATTTCTTATTTTTTATCAGTGAGATTATTTTATAACTTGTCCTCCATTATGGTTTTTTATCTCTTTCAAATAAACACAAAATGTGTAATTAAGTTAAAACCGTTGATTAGCATTTTGGGTTAAATATTAATTTAAATCATAAAATCAATGCAGTACCATAGCAAACAGCTGATTGATTTATCGCTTAACACAGAATATTGTCTCTAGTTGGTGACCATCTCAACAGATTGTACTGTACCACTCTTTTTTGGCTTCAAAATTTTACATTCAAACTTGGGAAGTCTATTTTCTGTTATTGTCAATGCTATTAGATAGTCAAAGGCAAAGGTTAATCCTAACCGCAGCAATTAATTAATGTAGGAAACAATTAAAATCAAATCTGGTATATAAAATTACATCTTTGTATAAAAATAGAAACATAATTAATGAATTTATTCTCAATTCAATTTATTAATTCAATATAAATCAATATTGTAACCACGCGTATCACTCCGATTTTGAGTGCATTGTTGTACCACTTATTTTATTAAATGTTGTTACTGTATTAAAAATAAAAGAAAAAACTATCTTTTCACGTAAAAGAGATCCTTTCTTTTGATAAAAAAAAGTCCAAGAATATTTACTACTTATGTAAAATAAATAAATAAATTGACTTAATAGGCCTGCGTACCTGAACAGCATGCATAAGCATAGATTAAAGGGAGTAATATATAATAATAGTAGATCATTATTATTAAGGATGGTATTAGGCCTATTGATTTAATTCTAAACTTAAATCGTCACGATATTTACTGACAAACTATATTTTAGATCCAGTGATCTGATTCCTTAAAACAATCACACAAGGTTTCTATAAGCTGATGGCGGATAGAGTAAGAAAAATAAAAATATATACTGTAGAAAGTAAAAATGTTTGTTTTCTCAAACGCCTGAAACTCTATGTACAGTATTGATTAAGTGTGTGTCTGTGTGTGTTTGTACAAGTAACAAGTGTATTTCTAGAACAAAAAAGGTGCCATTTTTATGGCTGGTTAGTGGGTTTGTTGCACAGAAAACATACTACTATGGTTATAGTAGTATGTTTTCTGTGGTTTGTTGGTAAAAAATTCAAATTTTCTGAGCAGTTTAATTTAATTTAATCTTTGAGAATGTTAAACACAAACAATGAATATTTAATAAATCCTATCTCTGATTTCCTACTTTATGAATTCATAAATATTTGTGATTTGGTCTCTTCAGAACCCGATAAATAAACGGTATTAGCAATATGACACATTTTCTCCCATTAGCTTGTCAACAACTTTTATCATCAATTAATTACCTTTTTGGTTTTTTTTGCCTTGAAGTTCTTGTTGGTTTTTGAAGTTCTTGTAGGTATCAAAAACCAACAAGAACTTCAAGGCAAGAAAAACCAAAAAGGTAATTAATTGATTAAAACTGTTCTTGTAACTGGGTTATATCATAAATTAACTTTTATCATGGTGGGTAAGCGGAGTAGCTATGATTAAGAAAATCACAAAAAGCTGCAATCACTTTTAAACTAATTTTTTCAGCAACGGGGGTGGTAATTTTTTTCTTTATAATCATAAGGATCTTAACATATCAAATTTTTTAATTCGGTCCGTTTTTTTATAAGATTTGCCCATTATTTTATGGATTTTCAATGGGAAACCACATAAATTACAATAACTTACCGGTATACAATAATTTATACAGCGGTTGGGGTTGTTCAGTAAATCTATACAAAACAGAATTGCGATCTTCAATATAGCTATACCGTTATACCGGGTACTACCACTAATTTTTATTCGATACGCTGTCGACATTACTTTTTCATAATTTACCTACTTTGAAATGACAACCATACGAATGTAGGTATTTTAAGCCAAGCATTAATAGAGATGAGGGTAGAATACGTGGCGCTAAAAATCAACGAACTGTTTGATTTGGATAACTACGTTTTATTGTAAAGCGCATAGTTTTAGATACTATATACTAATCCTAGTTCGCCCAAATTTGCTTAAAGACAATACCGGTATCGCTCTTCACTGTGGAAAAAAAATAGTTTGAGTGTTCTGGACGATCCCGTCTTGTTGTTTGAATTGGGAATGGGCGGAATTTTTGGTTATTCCAGTCAGCATGAGGCCTTTGAAAATATTATTATTCGAACAAAATATACAAAATAAATGGTATTGAATTTCTCAAATACCTATATACATTCCTATGGTCGCCATTTCAAAGAAAAGTATTAAGTATAATTTAATCTATGGTTTCTGACATACCATATAGATCAATTCTCTGCTGATTGTTCTTCGTGATATTTGGAAGGACTCAACCCATGGTGGAAACTCCACCAACTCCATTAAGAAGTTAAGTTAGAGGTGACCGTGACCACAGCCGCCGTGACCCACCGTGACTCAACCCGAACCCTCACTAAAATTTAGTTTTGAATCTGGTTCCGTTCCGATTAGAATTGGAGTTGGACTAAAAAAAACCAATTTATAGGCTAGCTGTTTTCTCTCTTCTCTGTTTGTCAGTGTGAGTGTTGAGTGTTGTGTGTTTTTGTTTTAATGATTCATTTTCATTGACAATCTATTTTCCCTGTATGCTAGATTCCAATTACTAATTAATTAAATTCCAAACCATAAAGTTGCGTTCTATCTGTGTGTTTGTATTCGTGTTAAAATTCTCCAGAAAAATGTAGTGTTCTTGAAGTATTTGTCAATCTAAATTGGAAGTTTTTATTTCGTTCATCGACCGATTTTATTCTGAATCTGAAGACAGCTTCAAAGTTTCTGGTTGTTTGACTGTGTTACTTGAAATCATGCGTTAATAGTTGTTCTTTATACAATTGTAAGTTTTAGTTTTACATTACAGTCAGTAAGATTAAGTAGGCCTAAGCCTCTTTTTGATTTCGATTTCCCTACAACGTGGAAAGGTAGTAACTGAGGCATAAAGGCTTAAGCACAACAAAGTGTTTTGTGACAGAAACCTATTGTACTTAGTGCATGTAATATGCTTTTGCCTACTTAGGCTAACATAGGGCCTAGCCTAATTTTGGGATATTGCCTAATTGTTTTGGAATTAAGCATTGGTAGCCTATAGACAAAGTACAATTTAGCCTGAACGTAAGTTAATAGGTACCCTACTTAGGCCTAGGCCTGGTACCTACATTTGAACCGCCGGAATTTTTACCTAGGCCTAAGTAACTTGAGTAAGAGTTGTTAAGTTAAGTATCCAATTTAACTTAGGCATAGTAGGCCTAGGCTATAGTTCTGTAGTTACAGTGTTGGCATGGGATTTGTCATTTTAAGGGCCTAAAATTAACAATTTTTCGCCAAAGGAGCTGGAATGATTTTACTTCCTATAGTATTTCTAGAAAAAATGGTGGCTTAACTTGTGTTATGATGTGAACACAGAAATGTAGGCAGGCCTTCTCTAAGGTTAACTTCACTTGCTAGGCCTTACCCTAAAAACTAAGCTTACCGTAACGGCTGCACTTTACTTTTGGTCCTACACTCATTCGAATGAAAATATCGATCGATTAATCGATTGTTTCATTCGATATATCGTTTGGTTAGTTAGGTAAGGTTAACCTAACCACCAAATAAACCAAAAAAATAAACCGTCGGTAATATCGGTTAGGTAATTGTGGACTAACCAAACGATATATCGAATGAAACAATCGAGTAATCGATATTTTCATTTGAATGAGTGTAGAACCTTAAGTAAATTGCAGCTACCGTAACTTACCTATTATTAAATTAGTCTTACTTAAACCCTTGAGCTCCATTGGATTTAAGTTATATTGGTCTCGAGGCTTTACTTACATAGCCTAACCAAACGTATACTTTCAACCTTGCCTATCTAAGTTAGACCTATACAAGAATAACTCAACAAAAACAGCTGAAAACTAACACGTGCTGCAACCTGAGACCGTAGAACTAGGTTACTAATTGAACTTTAGATTGACCAGGCCTACAGTGTGTAAGACAACCGATTAACTTTTGGTAGTCAGATGATAGAAGCCCAAGTGGTGTGAGAAATTTCCTTTCCAGCAGGAAACCGTGGGTTGAGGGTTTGAATTCCAACTTGCTCGTAGCTGCTCGGTGTGCAGCTCATGAAGTTATCACTTGTTTCTGGCAGGCGTGGTGGGAGAGGACCACCTAAAATAAACTGTGAATGGCTTGGGTGAAAAGAAAGACAATGTGATGATTTTAGTTCGGTGTGTTTAGAAGTTTTATTTGTTTTTTTCTCTAATTTTTAAATACTTAGTAGTAATTTTAAAGTAGGAAAGTTTTCCCAAAGTTGTGGTTTTTGCTGATACAATTTTTACCCAAACGACAAAATCTTTCAGTTGGATTTGAAAATAAATTGTAGGCCTATAAACCCACAAAAAAAACACAGTTTGTATCAAATTAAGTTTAGTTTAATAGGATTATAATAAAAGTAGGTAAAGCTAAATCACTGAATTAGTCCATGAAAATCAATGAGTGTTAAGTTGTAAGCAATTTAGGTGAAGGCAAATGTAGGCTATAAATGAGAAAGTTAAATGGTTTTGAGTTGATTGCTCAGTTGGTAGCAAAAAAAAAAAAAAAAACAAACAAACAACTAAAACCAATATAGTGGGATACAGGTTTGGTCCCTGTGCCGCCACTTAAAATTCATCACAGTACATGCTTGTTTGTACTGCACCGGCTCATCCCTTGGTTTCCGTGATAAGTTTCGCTCACAGGTCTTTCATATCCATGAGGAAGGCCAAATGTTTAAAATACCCCCGCTGCAACAAACCTGCAGACTAAGCGAATCTATATTTGCCTGATTTGATTTTTCAATGAAATCTAGGCAAAAAATAACATTAGGTTTAACGAGTACCCTAGATTTGCTGCCTATAGGGAGGGTAATAATTTTGTTTGTTTTAATATTAATAGTTTAGTATAAAATAAATAGATTTGCCAAGTTTGATCCAAATATATCTATAAACAAGCAAACTAGGCCTACAACAGTTAAACAAATTTATTCTCCATTTAAGAATAACATGGGAATTTTTAATTTACAATTTTCTCCGTAGCCAATAACCATCCAAAAAATTGTCAATATACTAAATAATTTGTTTTTTAAAGCTCATTCAAAATGGTCTAGGCCTACAGAAAATTTGGAAAATTTTATGTTTTGAGAGTCAAAAACGAGAAAAACCAATTTTTAGCCTACCCCATTAAACCTCGTTCACATTTTTTGATCATGCTGGTTTGCGAACTTAATAAATGTAGGTTTAACTTACACGTTTATACCAAATTTCATTACAATCGGATAATTTTTGCTTCTGTTATCGTGATAAGTTAACGGACACATATGAATTTAAACGGATGGTGTTTTTGGCCTCTAAGGACCTCAAAACGAATAATTTTTGCTTATATTATCGTGCTAACGGACACATAAATATATATATAGGCCCATATATACATATATATATACATATATATATACATATATATATACATATATATATACATATATATAAATTTGAACGGATGGTGTTTTTGGCTTCTAGGGACATTAAAATGAAAAAAGTAAATCAGTCCGGGGTCCAAGTCTTACCGTGAGACCTATGGTAGCTTTTTCCCTAAATGGGAAATTCACTAAAAGTCACAAACCTCTTAAAACAGTTACAGTAGCCTAGGCCTAGGCTATAAGTAGGTAATTGTCTGGTCAAACACTTAGCCAGCTTCTTTTCAAATTCAATCACTTTAGGGAAAGCAATCTAAACTCATTAAAGTTTTGTGGATGTGCCGATAATCAAACCCGTCTATCCTGCACCCAGTCCGAGAAGTTTTAACCTTTAGGCTAGCAACACACTTGTAATTTCACTGTGATAAGTTAGAGAATGAATGTTGATGTTTTAACTTGTGTTAAAAATTGCATGTAATTACCTTACATCCTTGCCCAGCTATTGTTGATAATTCCACCATATCTTGTTATTAGCGAATTTCCCTATCTAGGGAAGTAGCTATTACCGTAGGTCTCATGGTAAGACTTAGGCCCGGGACCGATTTACTTTTTCATTTTGATGTCCCCAGAGGCCAAAAACACCATTCGTTCAAATTTTTATATATGTATATATATATATATATAGATTTATATATATATGTGTCCGTGAACACGATAACTTGAGTAATTTTTATCCGATTTTGATGAAATTTGGTTTGAAGGTGTAAGGCGGGATAAACTTGAATGAGTTCGCGATCCAGCATGATCGGACCATGGGAACAGGATTTTATGGGGGGTTTTATGGGGTAAAAATTGGGTTTTCTCACTTTTGACCCTCAAAACACAAAATTTTCCAATTTTTCTCTAAACCTTCTTAAAGAGCTTAAAAAAACAAACAATTCAGTACCGGTATATCAAAGTGTTTTTGTACGGTTATTTGTTACGGAGAAAACAAAAAAAAAATTTAAATTTAAAATTCCCATGTTATTCTTATGGAGAATATTGTAAAATGTTGTAGTTTGCTTGTTTATGGATATCTTTTGATCAAACTTGGCAAATATATTCATTTTATACTAAGCAATAATTATTTTACTTAAAACACACTATTTATTAGTTTCCTTGTAGCAGCAAACCTAGGTACTCGTTAAACCTAATGTTATTTAAATAGACCAATTGAAAATCAATTCAGCCAAATGAAAATTCGCTTAGACGGCAGGTTTGCTGCGGCGGGGGTATTTTTCTACATAGAGCTCATTATTCCCTTGTGATAAATTAGTCTTACCTGCATTCCACCACTTATAATCGCTTTAAGCTCAGGGTATTTTACATTCTTTAAACATTTTGTCTTTGTTTAATGTTATAGGATTAGTTTAATAATCTCCATAACTTACTTATTAATAACCCTGCCTTCTTGTTTCAGATCTGTCGCTTAGTATGGATGTAGACACAACTCTACTACAAGTTCTAGCCTATACAAGATTCTTTCAATTGACAGTACCAAGATTCTAAGGAATCAATAATGTTAAAAAAAATTTGTTAACGTTGTTAAATTACCTTTGCTAAGAGGTTTGTGAGGATTGTGGCACATTTTATAAATCCTTCCTCGGAAACTCCTGCTTTCTAATGGATCTTGATGCTCAAGTTGAGAGTATCAGTCATACATTAGTCAAATTGGATGAAAAATCAAAAGTTGCTTCTGGTGAACAAAAAACCGAGCAAGACTTAAATTTGAGGTGTTTGGACGGTGAAACCTTGGAAAGCTTTGAATCAACTCAAAGTTGTGTTACACTGTCTTCCAAGTCAAAAGAGAACATAGGCGACGGTGATGAAAACATTAAAAATCCAGAACTGGCTTGCAATGTAGCTTCGATGTCTAATGATGTCATTGGTTCAAAACCTAAGTTGGCAAAACAGTTACCGCTGCAGTATTTATGTTGTATTTTTGAAAGCAAAAGGCATATTTGTAATACAGAGAAAGCTCTGCTAACTGTTCCATGTAGGTTTAGTATTACAAATGAGATAAAGGAATTCAATTGCGAGGTGTCGCTTTGCAAAGAAAACACTGTTCAAACTTCAGCAATAAAAGGATCAGAAAACTCATTTAGTTTAGACAACAGTTGTTTACCAAGGGGAAATACTTGTAAAAGTGAAGAGTCTTTTCCTGCACAAGTTTCTGAGGATGCCGAGTTTGTTGAGGTTGAAACATTTTCAGGCCCGGTAGAGACGGAAATTACTTTGTCTTGTATTCATAAAGAAAAAGTGTTAGATCTGATAAATGTAGATACAGTGTCTACAAATGATACAGGGAATACAAATTCTAATCAGGAGACTTTTAAATCTGAATGTGACCTTACCAGAGAGGTTTTAAGTGAAGAAATAATCCACGATAACCTCAAGTTAGACCAGATAAATGAGACTGCCGATTCCCGTGACAGAGAAGCTACTGATGTAAACGATTCCAAATCAGAGTGTTGCGTAGCAAATTCTAATGAAACTTCAAATGATTTCACTGTCAATCAGGTCGAAGAGTTAGAAAAGTCTTCTAATTTCCCATCCCAAAATTTGTTTGAAAGTGAAGATGTATCAAAAGATCATTGCTATATAAAGTTTAGTGATGTGAACACTTGTGAGAATATTGCTTCTAGTTCAATTGCATCCTCTGATCCGGGCCAAGCTAATGATACAGTTTTCCAAAAAAGAACAAATTGTTTGTTTGAAACATCAGCAAAGGATGTAGAATGCAATTTGCAAGGCCAGCTATATTCTACAGACAATTTTTCAAGCAATACATTTTTTAATACCAGTGCTTGTAGCTCCACAGATACCAACACAACTCAGGTTGTAAAATCACATCTCACTTTTCCGTACGACCATGAGACTTACTTTACGGTTTGTCCTGTTCCTACCACAAGCTGCCATTCTTCTTTCTACTCAAATTGCCAAGTGAAACCCTTAACCTTTGATATCAATTTTGGCAGCAAGACAAAATATGGATTTGACCCCAGTGAAGATATTGCTCAGAGGTTGAGTGGTAGTGACAGTTGTGCAGGCTCCAGAAGTATCTATACTTTGGCAGCTTGTGATCTGAAATATAACATTCCAACATCCACGGAAACTCAAATTTCCTGTCAAGTGAGAACTCCCATCGAACATCTCAATTTACTTTCACGAACACCTTATTCTGGATCCCAATATGATCTGAGCAAGTTAATTTGTGGTGTTGAAGAAGGTGAACTGATCTCCAACAAGAAAAGTTGTGAGATGGGGTCAAAAGTCTCTTGTGATAAAAATACAGAGGGTGAATCTGTTGGAAACAGGGAAGATACATTCTTGAGTGAATTCCCTCCTGATAGATCTGACGGGAGTGATTCCGGACTCGGTTCGGAACTTGTGGATGAAAGGATCACTATAAGAACTGACTCGCAGTCTTCAGATGAGCTTGACAGTGCAGTAAACAAGTGGTCTTCTTTTCAAACAGACATGCCAGCACTACCATCAACTAGCAAACATCCGAGAGTTATTAAAAGCAATTTAAAACGAAAATTCAATGCAGAAAGTGGAATTGATGGGCCAGCCGCTAGAAAAGCCAAGAGATCCATTGAATTTGAAAATGTTTCCATATTTTACTTTCCAAGGACTCAGGGCTTCACATGTGTTCCATCTCAGGTAGGTTAACAGGATCTTTTCTTACAATCCTTTTGTCAGAAATAAGAATTAGTGTTTGACATAAACTGTTACGATCGAGAACAATAAACTTGTCAGTTGAATAAATAATAGTACTAAACAATATGACAATAATGACCAATTTCTTAGATCAATTAAGAATTGAGTTTAGTAAAATAATGCAAAATTTACCACTAAGCAAAAACTGTTCAAGTATTTTAAACTTAATCGATCAAAGGTAACCCTTTCAGTCCTCAATAATTGTACTTCAACGACAAGCTAGGCATAGTAACATTTTGATTGCTTATTCCAGGGAGGCTCGACGCTGGGGATGTCTTGGACACATTCTCACGCACAGACGTTGACGCTGACAGAGCACGCTGCTGAACAGAGAAGACTTCACCGGCACCTGGTGGCTCAGCTAAGAAACAACAATAACTCTAACGGAGTCGTCACATCATCTAGCGACTCCGACACGGACGAACAGCCCAGCGAGAGTGAACCCGATTCCAACTACTACTTTTTGCAGGTAGGCCTACACCTATTAAATTTCCTTAATTATCCCCCTTGGAATACCTTTAGGCCTACTAGTTCTTATTTATGTTAAGAGTTATTTTTATTGAATCCGGCTCCATACGTCAAAACCAAATTTGAGGGTTTTAGTGTTGTAATAGGGTGTCCACATTCTGGAAAGTCAGGAATAGTCATAAAATAGGCAAAAAGTCATAGAAAGTCATGGAAATCCCCAGTGATGGATGGTTTTAAGGGGACTTTTCAATGCTCTAGTCAACCGTAACCCCGACTATTGTAGCATTTTTCAGGATTTTTCACAAATAAAAGACAATTAAATTTATTACAATTGTGTTAGTTTATGAGTTTTGGGTTTGTATTAGTTCATTGTTGTACTTATTGTACTCCATTTTTATCTGTTAATACATATTTCAGTATTTTCTGTGAAATAACTTGTCTATGCATTATTATTCATGTGTTTATGTTATATTATAATTTTTGAGTAATAAAGTTTGTGAGTCATGAAAATCAATGGTAAATGGTCATGGATAGTCATGGAAAGTCATGAAAATTATTGACAAATTTTCTGTGGACACCCTGTAATTAAGTAAGTTGATTTTAGTGAAGGTGTTAAGCTAGAATTTCAAAATTATTAGACTCAAGAGAACATAAACCCGAAGAACCTCGATAACAAAACCCTTGTGGATTAAATAACACACACCAAGGTTGACCTATTAGTATGTAGCCGCGGACTTACTTCATCCACTACTTCAACAGATTTGGCAAGAGGAGAGAACTCCAAAGGAATGGAAGAAGGGTATAGTTGTCAAAATACCAAAGAGAGGGGATGTAACACTCTGTAATAATTGGAGAGGTATTACCCTTTTGTCAGTCCCAAGCAAAGTGCTGGCCAGAATAATCCTAAACCGGATTAAAGGTTCCATCGAACTGAAACTGAGGAAAGAACAGGCAGGTTTCCGGGAAGCAAGAAGTTGTGTGGATTTAATTAGTACTCTCCGAATCCTACTTGAACAGAGCAAAGAATTTCAAAGTACTCTTTACCTGGCATTTGTAGATTTCGAGAAGGCCTTTGACACAGTGAAACACCAGGTGCTGTGGCTACAAGAATATGGGATACCCCCTAAAATCATAAATATCATCAAGGCAATGTACGACGATTTCCAGTGTCAGGTTTCGCACCAAGGAAAGTTCACAGGAGCAATCCCAGTTAAAATAGGTGTTCACCAGGGCTGCATTTTATCACCAATACTGTTCCTTTTGGTGCTGGACTCAGTTATGAGGAGAGTAACAAATAATAGAAGGCGGGGAGTGCAGTGGGGACTGAGGGAGCGACTGGAGGACCTTGACTTTGCTGACGACCTTTGCTTGATTGCCCAGAGGTACACTGATATTCAGGCGAAACTAAGTTCTCTACAAAGGGAGGCTGAAGAGGTGGGTCTTAAGATAAATATAAATAAGACAAAGGAAATGAGGTTGAATTCCAGAGTAGCCCAAGCCTTAGAACTAAATGGGAAAGTGATTGAAGAGGTCGACTCTTTCCAATACCTCGGAAGTAAAGTCACAGCAGACGGAGGAGCAAAGGAAGATGTTAGGAGCCGCATTGGGAAAGCTAATGCAGCATTTATTCAGCTTTACCCAATATGGCGAAATAGAAATATTTCAATGAAAACCAAAATCCGCATCTTCAACACAAATGTCAAGTCTGTCCTTCTATATGCCAGTGAAACTTGGAAAATGGATCAGCGAAGTACTTCTCAGCTCCAGGTGTTTGTAAACAGGTGTCTCAGACGTATAATGAGAGTGTTCTGGCCAAACACTATATCAAATGAACAGCTTTGGGAGGCAACAGGGCAAACCAAGATCAGCCTAGAAATCAGAAGACGGAAGTGGAGGTGGCTGGGTCACACTCTTCGGAAGACGGATGGTGCAATTGAAAAGAAGGCCCTGGAATGGAATCCCCAAGGGACAAGAAAGAGAGGAAGACCCTGTGACACCTGGAGGAGAACAATAATGAAGGAAGCCTCGAGTGTCGGGAAGACCTGGGGTCAACTGAGGGATCTGGCGCAAGACGGATGGATGGCGAGCTCTTCTCGATGCCCTATGCTCCCGCTAAGGAGCGACAGGAAATAAGTCAAGTAAGTCAAGGTTGACCTATTATTGAGGTTTGGAGAATTTTGGCCGTTTCCATTTTGTAAGCAAATTCAAAACCAGTGAAATGAAGAACTTTGTGACTGCCAATCAAGATAACAGCGAGTTGTCCGTATGCATTTTGATGATTGCTTCAAAGTTCTTGAATTTGTCTGTAAAGCTCTAGGATGGTGAAGTTAACAGGAGAAAATTACACAGCCACTTGTTTTACTGTTTTGTTTACCACTCCTGTGACTTACTCAATTTATTTATTTCAATGTCAAGTAGCCAATTTACAATGTATACAACATGCAAAGATGGTTTACAGACGAGTATACTGCCAATGCCTGTGTCTTCCTCGGAATTTCGCTCTTACCAGCCAAAACTTCTATACTCTATATCAGCCAACACTTGGCTTCACGCCTTAAAGCCTCCCACATCCTTCAGGTTTTTCCTATTCACTCGAATTTTGCTATATTTTCCACCAACTCTAAGTGTTTTCCTGTTGACAGCCGGTGCCCACACGACAGCGCCGTGCCATGTTGAGGGCTGCGGGAGTGCACAAGATTGATTCGGTGGAGAAGGACGAGTGTAGAGACATCCGATCATCTCGGGAGTTCTGTGGCTGCGCTTGTAAAGGCTTTTGTGACCCAGACACTTGCGCCTGCTCTCTAGACGGAATCAAATGCCAGGTGAGGTATTAGCTTCCATAATTGAAGCTGCAAACCCAATTTATGGTCCTGTAAAAGTGATATTGTTATTTTGTTCATTATCAATTATTCTGCCTTTGCAGCTGCTCTAGTGAATATCGTGCAGAATCATTTAAAATTCAACCAATGGAATAAACAAATAATACCATTACAGTAACTCTGACAACAAGACCCTCGATAACAAGTCACCCTTGAAAACAAGGGGCTTTTTTTAAATATCCTTGATTTTATTTGACCCCTCATCACATTTTATTGCAAACATCTATAAGAAATACGACCTTGATTATAAGTGTTGTTTGATGAGACTTGTTATCAAGGTTCTACTGTATTTGGAGTTTTTGTCAGTTTACACTGCTTTACAAGGCGACCTAAGTAAATAGAAACAGAAATACACTGAAGTAATTGAATCAGGACGTATTTTTATAGTTAAATGGGCTTCTTGTATTACCCTAATCTTGATTTTTATGTTACTGTATCTGAAAAATAGTTGTATGGATTGGCTATAATATCTTGACAAATCCTTAAATACATGTTATTTCTTAAATATTGTGATTTATTATCACTGAAGCAATATCATACTTTATTATTGAAGATATTTGTACACACAGTGTTGGATTTTAAGTATCGGAACCGAAATGTACTTGTAATCCATCCTCGTTATTCTATGCCTCTCTATCTCTCTCTATATTACCCATCTCTCCACATGAATACCTTGGTGCTAAGCACAAAATCAAACCAAGAAAACAATACACAGCATTAGTATTTGTTGAGAAAAATATCTCCTTAAGATACAAAATAAGAAATGTCAAAACAATTGTCTACAGATATAGAGCGATGGATGCCATTCAACTGTGTTCGCCTACAAATCAAGCCCCGATTACTCACATTTTGAACTTAACATCAAAGGATTAATGGAACTTTCTTTGAATCTGGGGGAAAATACGGCCAAAAGCCATTTTTATATCATTTGGACATAATCTTGTTGGTGAAACCGGTGACTTCCAGAAACTCGATGATGGCAAACCTTCTAATGAGACAAGTGGTGTCAAGCTGCTTTGGCTGTGATGACAGTTTTTGCCTCAATTAACTGACCAGCTGTTAGTTAAAACAGTTTTGAACTTCATGGTAATATGCAGTACTTCATGGTAACATGAATTGAACTATACCAGAACCACTTTGTGTCAGTGTACTAGTTTTATGATTATGTAATTTTTCTACAAGATTTTGATAAGTAGACAACTAATTGGAGGGATTACTAATTCATCTATAATCAAAACAGTGAGATCATTATTTGATTTTATTCCTAATATCCTTCTACAGGTGGACCGTATAAACTTCCCTTGTGGCTGTACTAGAGATGGCTGTGGCAACTCTAACGGCCGCATCGAGTTTAATCCAGTCCGAGTAAGAACACACTTCATCCACACATTGATGCGACTTGACCTTGAAAAGAAACAACAACAAGAAGAAGAAGAGAGACAGCGAGTGCGTGACGTCGATTGCAACCTAGCCAGCAACTTTACAAACTTCCAGTATCGCAACAGTATTTACGGCTACGAGGGTTACGGCTCAGCAAGCACCTCTGCTTACGGCTACGGTTACGGAGGGTATCATCAGATGCCCAGTTACGAGCAGACGGACATCACAGAGTTTGTTTCGCCAGGATTAGAGTTTCAACATTCTACGTACCAATCATTTACTCCGACCGGAACATTCTCACAGCCCGAAAACAATCACACTGACGTAAAGTTGGAATCTTTCTCAGAACTGTTACAAGGTAGGTACACAGAGCCGGAGGTGAGTCCAGACGTCGACGTCACCAATCCAAGGCAAAGTGTCTCGGAAGATAAGCCCAGTCAAAACACTGAAGAAGCACAGGCAGAAAACTTTGGTGAGATCATCAAGAAAACAATGGTAGAAAGTGTGACTGCTTGAACTTAAGGGGTTTATTATATTTAAAAGTTTTAACGGCATATTCTATTGTATATACCATTTTATTTTAACCTGAAAATTTCTATGTAAATATTATTATAAATAGTATACTTCAATTATTTACTTATAGGAATGTTTAATTTAAAATCTCTTATTGTATGTATTAGACTTTTAGTTTCTATACAACTTATAACAAAAATTGTTATATCAACTAGGGTAAGATCGCCGAAATTTTAAAATATGTGGTTACTAACATTATAAATTGTTGCGATATTGTTGACCAAAATTTTCGGTGATACTACCATTTTCCTTTAATGTATGTCATTATGCCTTTGCTTTAAATTTTGTATAAAATTTGTAAAACCTACAGTCTTGCATTGCTTTGTTGATTTGACTTATTAAGAACAGAATAAAAGTTTTGTTAAGTTTTACTTGTGTCCTTCATCCTTTTCCAATTTTGTTTGCAACTAGTTGCTATATTTGAAACTTGAGAATAATATTATTTTACTGTTTATTTCATGTAGAGAAATAATCCGAATAAGTTTTTCCCCAGAACCTCTACAAGAAGTCTAGTTTGGGAAATTATTAAATCCCGTAATTTAATTCCTTTTAAATGTGAATACCCATAAGGTTAGCATGGGAAACTCCAGAGCCACTGGGGCGGAGCCTGAAAGGATTTTTGAAATAACAATATGCCTATATGTTAATCGGGAATGTGAGTTATCATCACCCCAATCCAACCAGTATTTTTTTGCGTTTACTTGTCACAAACATCCCCATACATACATCCAAACTTCCAAACTCATCCTTATGAAGGCAATTTCTACAAAACACTACTCCTCCGATAATAATGGACGGATTTTTACAAACGATGTGTCATAATTAAGTATTTTTGTGTGGACAAAGGACGCCCCCTTTCACCAATTCCTGTGATAAAAGTCTGCTCCACAGGTCATGAAAATCCCAATGTATTTCTTGTGAAGAAAAGATTCTGTTTACTTAAACAGACAAATAATTTGTATTAATTACAGCTGTTCATAGTAAACACACAAGAGCATTCGTTTTCAGAGTGAGTTCGTTTTCAGTTTCGATAACTGAAGTGGAGTGAGCGTTCGTTTTCAGGGTGAGTTCGTTTCCAGTTTCGATAACTGGAGTGGAGTGATTGATTACATTATCTTTGAGTTGACTCTTTTAAGTCATCGGAAATTGTGACTGTTATTTGTTTTGAAATATAACGCCTGTAATACTTTGCAATTGCTCAAATTCGAGCAACAGGTGCACTTGTTTATAATATTAGTAGGATACCAATAAAAAAATAAAATGGTCATAGTTAGGAATGAGTCAACTTGTAAAAGTGCCGTTTGACATTTTTATGTAACCATCAATGATAATAACTGCACATTATAAAAATATTTACTAGAAGAAAATTTCTTCTAATGTTTCATTTGATGTTCATATTTAATTTAAAAATAAAATTAATCAATCCTAGTAGTACTCAGAACTGATAAGATAATTGTACATTCCAGAACGTATCATGAATTTTGAAATTCAGGTAATTCTAAAGAAAGCACCAGTGTTGGTTTATGAAAGAGGGAATGAAACAATATATTCATTCTATAAGGTAGTAAAAATATTCTTTATTAAACTACGGATACATAACAGAATAAACTTATCGCCTTGGAATAATCATCGTCATGTGACTAGTTAAACTTAAACCAATGTACAAAATTATCCTACAGGTGACATGGGAATGCATTCAAATTACACAACAAACATTTAAGTGAGTAATTTTATAAATTCGTAAAATGTAATTGTTGAGCAACAGTTAAAACAGTCTTGAAAAGATTTTTTACAGAAGACCATCATAAGTCTCTTTAGGCTGGTTGCCTGTGGAGAAGTCGAGAAGCCAGAACACAGATTCAGCCGTTCATACCGAAAAGTGACTCTTTTCGACCCAAGCTCAAGTTTTAAAGTCAAGGTCGGAAAATGAGTGAGGGTTGAAAAGGCACTTTTTGCCCATGTGATGGAACAATATTTTTCATCGTATTGCAACATTATTTAACAAAATATTGCAAGCAAACATACTTTACATGTAAAGATAACTTCTCTAAACAACTTCCAACTTGTTTTCAATTACCGGTAACTCTTCATTGATAATATTGATAAGTAGACCAATTGAAAATAAAACACATTTCAGTAGTAATTTAAATTTCTAATTGCATTGGCAGAACCATTTTGATCTCATATGTTTGTTTATAATGGCTGAAAAATCTGAGCCTTGTAAAGATATAAACAAACGGTATCAGCAATCTGACACATACTTTCTCCCATTAGCTTGTCAACAACCATTATCATGGATAGGCGTTACCTATAATATTTTATAGGAACAATCACAAAAGTTACAATAACTTTTAAACCGTAAATTTTACAGCAATGGTGGGTTGCACTACCATAACCGCCATAACATACTAATTATAATCAAAACCGGGACTTTTTAAAAAATTGGGTTATTTTATGGGGTTTTAATTGGAAAATAACATAAGTTACGATAACTTTTAAACCATAGTTTTGACAACAATGGGAGTTATACAATTTTGTTTAGAATCTAAAGGGCTATGACATACTAAAGTTAAATCAAAATCGTTAAGGCCGTTTTTGAGTAAATCTGATTTTTCTGTTATCTTATGGGTTTTTACAGGAAAATCACCATTGAAAATCAAAATTTCAAAAAAGTTAAAAAAAAGCCTGGATATACCATGGATTATAACCTACATACCAAATTTCATCACAATCGCACCACAGGTGTGGTCTGTAGCTCTGTTCACATCCACACACACACACACAAATAGACATCACTTCGAAAACCACTTTTTTGTGTCCAGCGGGACCCAAAACGGGTATATCTACTCAAACTCAAAAATGTTGACGAAAACAATACTTTCTCCATATACCGTGGTATAGGGGGAGAAAGTAAAAATATGTTTTGTTACTTAGTAAGCTTAAAGAATGCTGCAATACAACCAATATGTAACAGTAGTTCATTAGACAAGGCACAAGTGTCTTTTCGACTTTGCTCACATTCTCTCTCAGATAATTGAATAACAAACTGTTATATTTGTGTTGTTCAGACTAGTTTCATAACTAACTTATTCAATCCGAAATATATTACCACTAGATATAAATTGATTACTTCTATCTTTGCTGCTGTTGGTTACAGCAGAACATGCTCAAAATAAAAGAATGATAATAATAGAAAGTAATTAATTGTCCAGAGTACATTGTACTTACAAATAAAAGGACAATTGAGGTGCAGCAGAGTACCTGAGAAGAATTTAGTGACATCAGTAACCTAAGATGACTAGAAATTGAAAGCTTATAATAAAATAACCTCATAAATCTATATTTCTTTACATTCACATCATAATTTGTACATAAATATAAGCCTATTTATTCATAGATTTGTTAATGCTAGATATTCTGTTCTTAACAGCAACAAAATAATTCACTATTTTTATTTACAAAATATTGACAGAATAATTGGCATACAAACATCGGTGATTGTTAATGTACAACATTTTTACATGTAGAGAAATCTAACAAAATAGAGGTATTTCAGGTAAGTAGAAACAACTATTATGAAAGACACACACAATATAAAAATTAAAAACCTACGCTACACAAATTTCATTCCTTAAATGTACATTTTTTATCATAAAAACTACTTTTCCTCCATGACTAAAATCCAGTGCTGAATTCTCAGCGCAGTGGATGCTTTGGTGGCAAATAGAAAGATCAGGAATATAAATGGGATTGGGATTACATTCTCAGAAACGTCTAATGGTTCAATGCACGTCTGGAATTTGACACTAACTTGAGACCAATCTAACTACTTGTACTAACTTGTATTTGACTAATTTGAGACTTCATGATAGAATGCGCACAATGTTTTCCTGGATTCTTTAACAATTTCAGGTACTTGAGGGCCAGAACTTGGCCCTCTTTATAAAAGAAGTTCCAAATCATGCCTTCATGATGGATTATTTCCACTGAGAAATATTTTACCCTAAAATGCTTATTCCACATGTGGAAATAAGATTGATTCATGTAATAAAAATGGCACGTAAAACTCCAAATTGAACAATCTCGGGGTTAGCATTAATATACTTAACGGCGAAATTCTTGTTCCCTGCTAATGTACCTCTCAATTTTTGGAAGTTGTATAAAATTCTTCACAGTTAGTCGAAACCTGTACATAAAACCACACGTAAAATGCATGGAGGTATTTAAATCTAAAGCTAATTTTGTAAAATTAACTTTTCACAGCCTTCTGATGATGTCGGAACATGATTAATGCTAAGAACACAATAATGAGTCCTCTTGGGTGTCAAAGTTCGGGTACTTGTTCGGAGCTGCCTGAACCAACACGTACTTGTCCGGAGAGTCCAGAAGGGGACTGTCCCATTCTGGAAGATCTTCCTCTCCCAGCGGGAATAGTCCGGAATTGGGAACCTCCGTCTCAGTATCCTCCTGGAATAAGTAGAGATATTAAAGAGGTAAAACTGTAAACAAGGGGAATTTCAGAAACAAATGTGTTAAACTTTGAGTCAAATTTGAACCCAGATGTTTCAGTAGATGTTATGGGCTTACTTGGAACAAACATACAGGAACCACTTCTTTGTCATTACTCACAAGAGTATCAACTAACTGGCCACAGCAAGGTGAGAAAAACAAAACATAATTTACTAATTAAATCCACATAACTGTAACTTTAACTGTAAAATATGACATAAAACTATATCCCCACTCAGTTTCAGACTTCTATTAAGATGTGAATGTAATAGGAGCAAAAAGGTATTCAAGTGTGAAATGATAAACTATTTGGTATGCAGCACGCTTACGCAATCAAAGAGTGTATTCTGTGTCAGTCAACTGCGGGTGCCTAACTGATTCTCCATACCTTCCGAGTAAAGTCAGGGGTTAATGTACTAGCTATGGTGTTCAGTTTTATCTTGTGGAAATACTACACAATTTCATAATGTTCCCCAAGGAGTGTTGGATGTTGGATAACATGGAAGGTTAGATAAGCAAAGATCAGATAATCGAGGTTCTATTGCATCAAGGATTTGAAACACTAAAAAAACTTACCTGAGCCCATAGTGAGGGGGTAAATCCATTGGGGGGAGAATTGAAGGATCCATTCGGTGTATTGCTCCAGGGCGGGGGTGTGTTGAAAATGCCTGAACTGCTCTTCCGTGTGCGGAGTGAAAACGAGAACTTTCTAGTCGTGTCCGGATTGAGCAGATCAAGAGAGCCCGAGTGTTCAATCTGGACGGAAGCGAGGGGAACATCAAGACAGGGATATAGAAGACGAGGATTGTTAGCAATGAACTCCACAATCTCAGACGCCTTTGGTCTCTTCTTGTAGTCTAGGTTCCAGCACGAACGAATCAACGCCTCACTGTAAAAAAATTAACAGTAAACATTTTGTTGTACTCCGGACCTAATAGTAAATCATAAATTTCACTACTAGTCCTGAAAGTGGCCCATATCGGGTTTAGATTGTGGTTTATGAGAGAAGCAAAGCAGAGCGCAAAAACGACTATCGAGGACCGAAATGGAATTTTTGTGATGAGTAGTGAAAATACTTTTCTTTATGATGCAAATAATCACAACGCTTTAACGCTTTTTTTTTAGAATAATAAAATTAAAATGTTTACTCAAAGTATAGTAGTTCTTGAAGTTTTCATTAAATCGTTTTACAAGTTATTTAAAGTAAGCATGTTTGATCAACATTTCTTGTAAAAGAGTGCAGCACATACATTAGTGCTCCTGTTTAACTAAATAGGCACTTTGTTTGTTTAAACAGGAAACAGTTTATTTGGAACAGGTGAATAGGTATTGTTACGTTCAGGATAAAGTAATATGACAGGCAAAATCATATGTTTTGAGGGATTGGAAACCAACAATTTTCTTAAAGCTCAGCTCTACTGTATACAGAGTGATGAAAACAATATTGCTAAATGTAAATTGAAACTACACCAATGTTGTTAATTACCCATCATCTGGTAGAAATATAGACCATTTTCAGCAATCACATTTAAACACTTTTGGAACCATGACATCTGCACAGTCGATGTACTATAGCTTGTTGAAGTCACATGCTATGTCTAGCAGCACATAGCTGTGTCTTGCTAAATAGCTTAGTGTATGCATGAGAAATAATTTTTTGTATCCTAGAATATCATTCCAGTCACTCCCAATTTGCATTAAAAGAGTCAGTTAACAACAAAAACAATCATTGCCAACAGAAATAATCATTGTTTCCACTTACGCCTGAGGCTTGACTCCTGTAGGTATTGGCAGAGTGTTGCCTGCCTTGACATGTTCCAGTACTTGGTTGTTGTTCATGCCTTGGAACGGGAAACTGCCGAAGGTGATGATCTCATAGAGCAATACTCCGTAGGACCAGACGTCTGAGGCAGGCGTGAATAATCCTTGCTCTAAACTCTCCGGGGACATCCATCTCACAGGCAACATTCCTAAACAAAATATACAAATTTGAATTAAATAAATAAAAAAAAATAACCATTCTTTAGTTTAGCTGGCAACGTTAGGGCAACTCGACCAGCTTATGAGACCTTACTGATCAACACAGAGAATTACTAAGATATAGCTTACTCTTATATAATATACATTCATACTGATTATAAGGCCCCCTTCACACTGGGCCACCATGGTGGCGCCACCAGTGGCAACACCATGGTGGCTACGTTACATTAGCATTGATTTAAATGGGACATCTTCACACTGAGCTTTGGTGGCGCGTCTGGCCGCGCGACCAGAAATGCAGTGGCTCGGGGTTGCGATTTTCAAAGACACCAGTTAAATCCATGTTCATTATATAAAATATATTATCCATCAAAAAGCAACAAAGCACATTATGAAAGTTTATACACACACCTACGTATCAGCAAAATATCACAAAACAGAAAACACAGAAGCCATAACACACCAGCCAAGACCATCTTCTGAAGCTAAAGATAAAGATAGGAAGATTAAAGGTAAGGTTTAAAATTATATTCCTCAATGGAAAGCTTGCAGTTTTGCTCATTTGATATTTTATTTTACAAAGATATATTCAGATAATTTTATTCTCTTAAATGAAGAACTGTAGTATAAAGTAAATTCCTTTGAAAAAAAGCTTCATAGCTTTTAGATCTTGGAAAAACACAAGAATGTAAAAATAGATTTGTAAATAAGAAGATATTTCTGTGTTTAATAAATAGGGAGTATAAACAAAATCTTTGCTAGTTTAATGTATTTCTTTTCCTATGCATTAGGGTACTTGCCATGTAGTAACCCGAACAATTATTTGCTGTAGAGATAAAACAACCTATAAAGGGTACTGACATTGTGCAAGAAATGTAAAAGCGGTGCCTTTAAATTCCACACGCACAAAAATGTGTACTCACGATTATTTCTAGGTATCTTGACCTTGGTCAGTTCGCTCACTCGATTTTGACCTAAGTGAAATTGTATTAGACAAACTAGTGCACAAAACTGGTAGTAAAGAAAGGTTTTATGTTTTAAATAACCCAGTAGAACGTCTGTGATGATGCTTACCTCTTCTACTAAACTTGTAGTAGTCTTTGTCAAACATTGGTCGAGTCATGCCAAAGTCTCCTAGTTTGACGACTCTCGCTGCGTTGACGAGACAATTACGTGAAGCGACGTCTCTGTAAAATATTTGCATGATGTTGAAATATTTCCTTTAGTTATGATGTGCATACTTATTGTTTTTATTACAGTGTTACTATTTTGTTTAAGAGGTAAACCAAGAGAAAAACGTAATGACTTGTAAGGTAGGTATGTATAATCTAAGTGTAAGACGAGTAGTTGGACCTACTTGTCTTACACTTGAAGTGTAAATTGACCAAGGTAAAATACTTGTCAGGCATACAGAGAGATTTTAGGTTAATTTGTTAGGCAAAATTTGCAAATACACTCCAACACAGGTGAGGGTGATATAGCTCCACCTGAGCGTGTGCATGATTTCCTGAGGACTTCTAGAAGAGCTCTGAACTTTTGATTAAATTAAAATAATTAATCAGTTAAAACTGTGGAATAGTTTTTTTTTTATTTTATCAGTTTTATCAGATACACTCCTTTTTTCCACTCATAGATTTTTATCAGCTCCTCCTGCCTGAACACTCCAGGGAAGAAAGCTGGAGCTAGGGGTAGGCCTTACATGTTTCGTGAATACAACTTTATCCCCCCCCCTCCCCGTCACAGACTTTAAAAGGATAAGCTAAATTACTGTGGTGTGGATTTACAAAATGCTCAATCAAATTATAACACATTTACCTGTGGACGAATTTCAACTCCGCCAAGTATCCCAGGGCTCTTGCCACATCTAGAGCCATTGTTGTCAATTTCTTGCTGGAAATCTCGTCTGATTCCTCTCCCAGCTTTTCATTCACCAAATGTCTTCTTGCAAGAAGGAAGGTTTTGAGGTCACCTGAAAGTAAATTAAGAAATTAATTACCATATTTTGTACTATTATAGCATATTTGGACACTTGAGTTATTGCTTTTGGTTTAAAGCTTTGATGGATTTACCTTCATTGTTTGCATTGGTTATCACAATTATCATGTTTTGAAAAGTTAAAATACTTTTGGAGATTTGTTAGACCAACTAAGTGTAGTAAATCTTTAAACATCGCCTTGCACCATTTGTTTGCAGCAACCGTTTCCATCTTTCACTAGTTACTAAAAAATTACATTGACCAAAGAAGATTTTCAAATATAATTAATTATCATTTTTAAGAAATTTTTTTTTAAGAGAAAAATAATTATAATTACAATTCAAAAAGGGTTTGAGAGTTTCATCATACAACATTCTTTCTCAAGCTGTTTTATATGAGCACATAGACATTAGACATTATTGTAACCTGAAGGCAAGTGAGCACAGCGAACGAGCTCCAACCTAAAGGTGAGTAAGTGTAGCAAGTGAACTTCAACCAAGACGTGATTGAGCCATGCGAACGAGCTCATCTTGAAAATTAACGAGCATTGACATAAAACCACATTAGGACAGGACGACGACTTGACCAATTGAGCAGATTTTTTTCATGAATAGAGCCAATATAACCACAGGCTTAGTGGAGTCGTTTTTTATTTAATACTCTCCTAGGGCCCAAATACTCCCTGACAGCTAATTAAGTCCAATGTTGTTCTTTGAAGTAACCATGAAAAGCCTCTCGAAATACCACCCAACCCGGTAAGGCAATCAATAGTTTTATGAATATTTATGAAGTTAAACGGGGCAAAGCCTGTGGGTACAGCTAGTCATGGATATAAATAAACGAATAATTTATTCTGTATCCTGGCAACAGAATCATTCCCTCTCAAAAACTTAAAGTTAAAACATTGTTTTTTTTTATTGAAAATGTTTAAGAAGTTTTTGGCCTGTACTGTCGCAGGTGCGACGGCTTGGTGGTGGATATCTCAAAGACAGAATCCTCCCCCACCACCAAGTTCCGTCAAGAGGGAATTGAGGCAGTGGGTCCCTAGGCCAGGGCAGTAGACGAAGAACAAGAAGTGACGGGGCCCTGGAAAGATGAGGTGGACACAGTACCCGGAGAGCCAAAACGACATGGAGGTGGACAAAGACATCCTTCCCGGAAATAGACAAGGATATAATAATTCCCGAAGCCGGACAAAGGGCGCATGACACGGAGCCAGACAAAGGACGCATGACCCAGAGCCGGACAAAAGACACATTAACCTGAAGTGAAGAAAGGACACTACCCAGAGGTTAACAGAGGACATATCAACTGGAAGTGAACAAAGAACACACTACCCGGAGCTTACAAAGGACACATGAACTGGAAGTGTACAAAGGACACACTGCCCGGAGGTTAACAAAGGACACATTAACCGGATTTGGACTAAAACTTAGTACAATATATCTCAGGCCATTGTCTGCCACTGTTTATCTCAATAACCAAATAAAATGCAGTGATTTATGGACAGTATAAGTTAGTTTCATGTGTTTAAGTTAAAGATTTATTAATAACTCGTTCGCTGCGCTCAGTGGCCTTCAGGTTAGCTCGTTTGCTACGCTACCTCACCTCCAAGTTGAAGTTCGTTTCCTATGCTCACTCACCTTTTGGTTGCAAGCTGTTGTCATAAATGTACAAAAATAATAGTGCTGCTGTTGGTAAACCTATTAACTCTTTAATGCTATTAAACATCACAGAATCAACTTGTTTAGTTGAACCAGCCGTTAAGATTCTTTAATTCCATTTAAATATGAGTACTCATAAGGTTAACATGGGAAACTCCAGAGCCACTGGGGCGGAGCCTGAAAGCCCGATCAGAATAAAAACTACTTCGTTTTCCTATTTAATGCCCAAAGAATCAGTTTACCGAATTTCAGCCTTCTAGGTAAATGGGAAGTGGGAGAATTGGTGATGAGTGAGTGAGTGAGTAAGTGAGGGCTTTGCCCTTTATAAGTATAGATAAATATGGATATGTATATGGGTACATACTGTATATGTAGTTATATATATGAATTTGAACGGAGGGTTTTTTTGGCCTCCGAGGACCAAAAACGAAAAATTAAATCGGTTCTAGGTCTTACTATGCAACCTACGGAAATAGCTTATCCCTTTACGGAAAATTCGCTAAAAGGAAGAGAAACCGCAGGTATGGAGTGAATTCCCTGAAAAAACATTGTTTATGGATGTTTTTTTAATGTTGTAAATTTATTGTAGTATTTTCGGATGAGAAGAGCTTTGGCGAGCTATTGACAACGCAGAACCTTTGAAAAATTCACGAGGTTTTGGATTTCTTTTATACCAGCAGAGGAAATACTTAATTCTTATTCTTAGAGTTTTAAATCTCATATAAGCGACAGGACACATGTTACGACGTGTAAGATAACATGGAGAGCACAATCGAAAAGCGCTCCCGGTTGCGTTTATTTTTCTGTCACCGGTTGCGAGTCGCTTAGTGTGGCCGCCTCCATTTAATTTAATGTTACGCACTTTCAGTCATTGTCGCCGGGACAAAGTCACCAAGTTGCCTAAAATTGGTCTAAACAATTTTGGTTTTAGATTATTTTAAGCTTTTACAACGTGATTGGCACATACCACTTACCATAAAGCATAAACTCCATCACAGTATAAGTCGGTTCATTTTTCGTACAAACTCCAAGTAACTTAACAATGTTTGCGTGTTCAAATCTCTTCATGACTTCAGCTTCACAAAGAAACTCTAACTTTTCCTCTGGTGTGGATCCAACCTTGAGCGTCTTCACAGCAACAGCTACCTGAATGTAATAGTTGCCAACATGAATATTAGTCAAAAGGAATATAGCATACTTGATACTTGAAGATTTCCCAGTGGAAGCGCCACTGTTCCGTAATCGTCAAAAATAAAATAACAAATGATTTTTTATTGTTTAAACATTGTGTTAGTCGATTGGAGCTCACAAAATGCCGTACGCATTAGGACAACAAGACCAGATGGTTATCAATCCAGTTGCCATCGTTACAGTCACAAAAGTTGAAGAGTCTTTGCTTGTGGATCAGCGTGATTAAGATTACTAGGGGTTTTCAATGTCATTTGTTAGCAATCTCGTTGTGCAAATGTGTACAACATTCTTTAAGAATTACAGTTTTTACGTCGATACACTGTTCTTAGATATCCGTCAATTGGGGATGGATTCAAATACACCAGTAAAGAGACTGACTCTTTAAATGACAATAATTTGATGATAGATTGGAGTTCATAATCACCCTAAGTATACATTTTTCTTTCTATCGTTAGAGGCTACTATGAAAATCAAATATTGCACATTGCTTAAAAGCGGGAACTGTCTATAATAGTAGTGAGGGAGTAATATAATAGGTAGTAGAATAGGGAATCGGTGGCTAAGTCTGTAGCGTCACGTAGTTCACCTTCGTACTGTACCGGCTCACCCCTTGCTTTGCTGGATACGTTCCATGCATGGACAGTTAGTTTAACGAGCTCACTCCGCCACGACAGAGGCTTGTTGAAGATATTATTTTACATGCAGTTTTAGTAAATGGGCTGATAAATGTTGATGAATCACACACACTATGAACACCAGGTGAATTTAAGTTGGATTAAACAGCAGTTGTAATCAGCTGCCGCAATTTCTGTTTGACGATTTTCTCTGTGACTTTTAGTTAAACTACAAGTTATTACTTACAGTCGGGACCATGTAAGTTTGCAGTTGGTGGCATCCAATCACAAAATACGGCTAGTGAGACGTTGCCACATAGCCCGTTGACAACACTAATTAAAATATACTAAGCAATATTTTCAAATCAGCTGGTATTATTAGATTTGGCATCACCGCACGGTTCTCATTGGTTCATTCAAAACCATATGATAATTAGGCTCCTCCCTCAACTGCAAACTTACGTGGTCCCGACTGTAATCAATGTAAATTGTTAAATCTAAGCCCGCGAATTGCGTGTCACGAAATGCGCCCCCTCCCACCTACCTTGAGGGGTATTTTTCTCTTCCTCCTTGCCCCCCCCCCCTAACAAATCTAAAACTTCTTGCGCCCATGGGCCCATTTACTAAAGCGGCCCAGGTTAAAAATATATGTTATCTGATCTGATCTTTGATACTTGATTCATCAACTCTAAAATTCTCACCCATCCTTTGGCGTCAAAGTAAGCTTCTCCTCCATAGACGAATCCAAAAGCTCCCTCTCCCAGTTTTCGGTTGATGACAACTCTATCTCTTGGGATCTCCCATTTCTCAAGAGCCCCGACATTCATCATATCCAGACCTATAGACTGCATAATCTCCTGGGTAAGCTTGAACTTCTTGTCGTACCTGCAGGACCAAAGTGACAGTTACAAAGATTTTAACACTGATTAATGGGATAATTACTTAACTCGTTTAAGCATTTACAAAAATTTCAATCTCCAAGACTGATAAACAGCAGGGGGGATTGATGCTATATTCCTTCAGATCTTAAGAATAAGAGAGGCAACATTTGATAAACGGCAGCAAGGTAAGTAGATTCTTTATTTTTTTATTTTAAACATTTGTGTGAGTATGGGTCTACAAATGAATTAGTTTTGCTTCTTTGAATACTTGCATTATAACCTTAAAATATACAAAGAATAATGTTGATGGAAATTTTATCAATAAAAAACTGATTTAGTGGTGATTACTGTAGTGAAGTGCTGGATGTTTAGCAAGCTACAAGTCTTACCTGTTTTTCACTACTAGGAAGCCAATGATGAGGGAACCACCAAGAATGCAAAATCCAAAGATGTTTACAATGGCCAGGAACAAAGTGCAGTCTTCAATGCCAAAATATTCAGCAAGCCCCAGGAAGCAACGAACTGTACCATCTTTGGGTTTTGTCCTGTCTGGGTTCAGCCACACAATCATCGATTCGTTTAGGTTCAGTCTGAAAAATAAACGTTTCACTTTAGCTAAATGTGGGTAATGGCTAACAACACAGCTGGTCTTAGTAAATAACACAAATCACCCCTTGTTATTCTTCAATAATCATACTTCACTCATATTCAGCTTAAATGTGCAATCAAGTGAGAGTTGCTGTCTTAAAGAAATTACTACAAGTTCCTTGGACAGATATTGCTTCTTTAAACTTAATGCTTTAAGCTAAATTGTCTTTGTTATGGTGGAAGAAGTTTTTTTTTTCAGTTACTTAAAAAATTGAACATTCACTCACGTTCCAGCCATAGGGTCCTTATTTGAAATGGAGATGTTTGGCTCAAATATCCCCACGATCTGTGAAACATTGTTGATCCATTGGATCACTTGTATGACTGATATCCGAGAAGGATTCCCACGGAACTGGATACGGCCGGATACACCGTTGAAGTCTGTCTTTCCTAAAATCTCCACGTAACGCCTGAAAAATTAGATTTGCATTTTTATAAATAAAAAATATTTTATCTCAAAACATTTTTGCAAAACTAGAGGTTAGATAGTAATACAAAAGAATTTTGACACAGATAATCTTTGACTTAGTTTGTTAAATGTAGAACAAGAACAAAAGGTTTGTAGCCCACTAAATTTAACTTAACAATTTCTTAGGAATGTGCTTAAACTTACTCAATCAAAAGTGTAATTTACTACTTGAATAATTTATAATTATTTTAAAAGTTTAAATTCTGTAACTTAGTGTGAATGCTTTCAACAACTAAGCAAACTAAGCAACAACTAAGTTCACAATTTGTTTAAACCTTTGCATTCACGTGCAGGATTTTATCCATCCACTTTTTTGGCTATTTATAAGTCTCGGCATAGCCTTTCACAGCAAGAGCAAAACTTCAAGCAGGAAATATCATGTTAAGAAGTTGACAAAAAATGAATACCAAATCTTTTGTCTACTTGAAATTTATATAACAGTAGCCACCCTCTTCGATTGTGGTTGGAGGACAAATTTAATTTCTACTAAAAGAGATTTCCACCTTTTCTGGATTGCCTTACGAACACATGAACTGACCAAGTGATACAGAATAGAAAAAAATAAAACTTAACAAAAATTATTACATGTTTAAACTTACTTTGTGGTATTGGGAGCGTGAATAGCAGACAAAGCGGACGGGTCTTCCTTATTCAATTGGTCCAATGCTAATGCATACATCCACACTGCATCGTAAGCGTAGCCTGCGTACCCGGAGATTGACGTGCGATTGGTGCGTTTCTTGATGAGTGAGTTGATGTTGGTTCGCCACTCGCCGACTGTCTCATTGGTTTGCATGACGGCAGTGTCTGGTGCCCATGAGGAGTGAGCGAGAGACAGATGACCATTGATTGCCTGTTATCACACCAAGTGTAAACGTGAATGATGTTGGTAAAATTTCCATGGGATTAGCAATAATAGAATGTTTGATAGAAGCAGTTTTTTAAATTTATGGAAAATAATAATTTATTCAATTTGTTAAATTATAAGCAATTGGATGTATCAAAGTTGTGTATTGATGGATTCTAGCGGTAGGACCTTATTGTTGCCTTCTTTTCAATAGCTCAACATATCGATGGTGTAATGAACTCTAATGCAATAATAATAAACTAAATCATTGAATCAATTATCAAAAAGCTATTTGTTTGCATTAAACAAATTTAAAACAAGCTGGAAGTTGTTTTGTGAGGTTATCATTAAATGAAAGTATTTTTGTTTTGTAACAAAAAATATAGTTCATCACACGGGGGAAGTGTCCTAAAACCCTTGCTCATTTTCCGACCTCAGCTTTACCTCAATCGTAAAACTTGAGCTCCGGGTCGAAAAGAGTTATTTTACACCCTAGTGATCAAATAATATTTCTTACTATGTTCAAACTCTATTACAATTCTATTGTAACTCACCTCAATCATCTGTCTTGTAGTACAAGGCACTCTGTGGTCGCTATCCAACCGTTGATTGTAGCGGTCAGTGTCGTACCAGTCGGGAGCCAGCCACGATGGAAGAAACCAGACATAGGAATGGTACGCAGTCATCTGCAGTTGGTAGGCCTGACACATCATCTCTCTCGCTGCGTCGTCGTAAACGTCTCCGATAATTATGCGTACTGACTTGCTCTTCATCTCTTCTAGGTACTGGAAAAATGAGTACAAAAGTGTTTACACAAAAAAATAAGAAAAACAATACACTTTTGTATAAAAACATATTGTAGGCCTATAATCAAGGTGAGTTCTTGAAGTGAAGCTCAAAATTTGTTTCAAAGTTGAAATATTTTTACAATAAAATATTTGTTAACATACATTTTCTTCCCTTTGTTTATAAATTGATTTATTATGCCCAAAAGTTGATAAACCCTTTACTTGTGCTGTGTTAAGTTATCTCACTTCAAATCATATCGTTTATTAGGGCATAGCCTACAGAGTTTAGACGTAAAAGTACAGATGGTTTGTAACTCTTCGTATGGCCTAAAAAAATTTATATTAGACTAGTACCTAGTTAATTTTAGGAGTCTAGAACCCTTTAAAATGTTTTTATACCAAAACTATTTTTAATTTTAATTCCTATTACATCCCATTATAGTTACATTACCTGTTGCCTGTAATTGTTTTTAACTTACACTTTTCATAGCATATTGGTCCCTGTTAGTAGGAAACTTTCTGTTCATGACGAACGTGTAGTTCTTGGACGTCAGTAGATCCTGAAGTAGAGATAGATACTCAGTGTACTTCTGACCGTCCTCAGTCAGGGCTGCCAACCTTCTCCAGTCCAGTTTAGCCAACAGTTGGAGATAAACTTGTCTGTAGACAGGTTACAAGCTTGTATTTCCAACATTTGGTGAGTGGGAGGTTCAGTTAGTAGCAAGACAGACATCAGAATCATGATATCTAAGTCAAGATTTGGATCATAGTGTAAGTTACCTGCCACTAAATTCTATTTGAACAGTTCACCCTTGTACTTTACTGGCTTACCCATTGCTTTTCTAAATACTATCCAAGCTCAGACCCCAAGGCTTGTTGACAGGCATAGGAAAGGTTAAAAAAGGCCATTCAATTCTCCGAAACACAAAATCAATTTTACCCTCAACTTTCTGGATATACCAATGGTAAAATCTGTAAAGCAAGACAGTTTTGACAAAACTGTAACGATGTAATGGATTAAGAATAAACCAATGAATAAAGACAAAAAATAAATTACATCTTGAACTTACAATAAAAAATAGAATAAAATTGTAATAAAGTATGTTACAAGTTTCGTTCCTCATGACAAAAATATAATAAAAATTTGTGTTATCTAATAAAGTTTGAAATCAAAACTTTAAATCAGGAATATGTTCCAGAGAAATAAATTTTTACTAAGAGAAAACATTTACACAACTAAAAGACGCCCAGAGGAATAAAAAACTAAACCTTTTTAATTTATCTAATAGTGGTACAGTGGGACATCTTGTTCGAATAACTTACTGATATTGCGTGTTCTCTCCGATAGTTCGGAAGAAATAAGGATACTTCTTGCGATCGGAGAAACTGGAGCCCTCGGCACTGTAACTGATTACGATGGTACGATAAAAGTGGGAGACCCCTGCGAGAGATTCCAGAGTATTGGAACAAGCCGGACCTGCAAACAGAACATGGAGTTAAAAAAACAGGTAACATACTGATGATATGTTATATAAAACTACTTCACGAATCTGATTTCATCAAGTTCCAGCAGTGGGCGTAGCTGCTCAGGTTGGAGCGATCTGGAGCGGAACTGCCTCAAGCCCCCCCCCCCTCTCCACAAACTTCAAACTTCACCTTGCTTTATACATAAATACCTTTCTAAAAGGGGTTGGTCAATTTACTGGTTTACATCAAATGACTAAAACAGAGGATTGTTGGAAAATGTCCTCACGTCAAATTTTGTTTCAAAAAGGCAAGATTCACTTTTAAGTTAATTTAACTATCAAACCTATGCAGACTACTCTGTCATATTAATCCAATGTCTAATTTGCCTTATCCAAAAAATACAGGAATAATACCTGACATATTAATTTTATCTCCGATTACAGTCTCAAATCAGTGTGCATTATTTCTTAACTTTAACAACCGACACCATAATACACCCTTAACATCCCACAAAGACAAAAAAAGTCAATATGTGATAAAACAACACCAAATATTTGCAAATCTCAGCAAGCTGGTTCGGACACATTTAGTTTTGATTAGAATTTAAGGTTCATGAATTAATGAATCGCTCATAGAAATTTGATATCCCGGCTAGATTACTAATTTATTATTGTATCTCAAAGTATAATAACCTCTCAAACTTAAAACAAACTACCCGTTAACCTTGTTTGTAAACATTATAATTTAGTTTTTTAAGTTTTAATTATTGTCTCTAGTCTAACCAATTCAAACAGCTTACCAAGAATGCCGACCATTTTGGAGTAATGGTTGCGTTTGATGTGGTCGATGAATGACCGCAGTACATAGTCCGCTTCACATCGCCCGTCATCCACCCACAGCTGCAGTCGATAATCTCGTAAAATAGAGTTGTTCTGGTTGACGGCTATTTGCGCTAACTGTGCAGCTGAAATAGTCAAAACTGTAAGTTCCTTGGAGATCATTCTCTGAGAAATAGTCAAGATCATTTCTCAGAGTAAAAAATGTACCCTTTCATTGAAGTTAGCTCAAATAAAATAGATTAAAAAAATTTTTCAACAATCTACAATAAAAGTTATAAATCAATTTATTTTAAACAGGCATAAAAAATGTACTATTCTTTTAGAGTATTGCAGACCAAAAACTTCCTTACCTAAAACAATGCTCTCTACATCATAGTAAGCTCCCACACCACGTATGGGATTCATGGGGAAGATTCCCCCAATATAGAGAGTGCTGTACTCGTCGTCGTTGCCCAACCAGACGTACTGCTCCTCGTGGTTAGCATTCAGCCAACCACACGCTGCTGTCGCCACAGCATCGGTAGTGTTACGTGACGTCGCCAACGCGGCACGATACCTCAGCAGCAGGTCTCGATAGTGGGACGAGTCAAACTGAATCTTCATGTATGCCTGGAAACAAAGTTAACACTTCTGTTACCGGTAATTACCGTTGAATGTAGATTATGTTATTTTGACTGGACAATTATTGATAAGAACATGGAAATAGTAATGTTTTAAGCTTGATGTTAAAGAAGAATTCGCCATCTACAAAGCTAAAAACTTTGACCCATTTGACATTCTAAAATGATCAGACTTCTTTCCAGACAAATATTTGATACATATATTGACATGTTACTAATCAAAGAAGTATAAAATAAGAATAAAAAAACAAACTGAAATACAGGTGGCACTGGAGAAAAGAAGAAACATAATGATTTAGTCAGTTTTATTTAGTCAGTGACAGTGATAGAAAGTGCTGACCAGCCTGCACTGTTTTAATCGGTTTTATCCATTTTTATTCCATTCACCACCATGACAAGTTTTAATTATTGTGATTGTGACAGTCTTTTAAAGAATCTATGTACCACAATGTATTCCTTCAATGTATTTATGTATGCATTCACAATGTATATATTGATGATGTGGTTGCATACAAAATAAACCTGATTAAGTTCTAAGGAACGAAACTAGTCATCACACCAACAACTGTGGTTGGATAAGGTCATTATTTTATTCTATCAATTACATTCAGTCAAATCAAAGGTGCTTTGAAAAGATTTTCACCACACTACACAATAAACAGCTGGTTTGTGGTCTCTTTGTTGTTGTTAAAAAAAAGACAGGTCAGCTGGAGTCTAATCAATAGCAAACAATTTTTCTAAAAGACATAGTATATGTTTCTTCAGCATGATCTCAAAGATGCTACACAATAAATACTAGACAGGTTTGGACAAGCACATTTACACTTTCACAATAAATATTTGAAGAGCTTAAAAATATTACCCTTAAAAAAAATTTGAAAAGTCCGTTCAAACAGTGCTGTAATTTTATGTATGGGTTGAGACTTATTTTATATGTATATTTTTTCTGGTATAGGGAAAAAGTATCCTACGCTACTCAACTGTGAAGGTGTTTACGGTGCTTGGAGCTTCAACAAAGCATGGTTGAAACTTGAAACGCAAAATGTAATTTTTCTCATATAATTAACCCAGGAATATAATCTACTTAAAACCTATTCTCACCTCATAGGCTGGTCTGGCGGCTTTCTCAAATATGGACGTGTAAAGTTTTACCAGCGAGTGGAGATCGTAGCGACATCCAATGTCTTTATCAAGATCGTTATCTCCACAGGGAGGAAAAACGACAGAGGCAAACGTTTTGTCGTCTGGTAATACCACCTGTAAGTAAGTAAAAAGGAGTAGAATATGAGATAACATAGTCAATAATTTCCTTTTTAAGGCTCTTAAAACAAAGTCAATCTCACAATCTTAAGACTTCAAGTTATGGTCCATGCTGGCCTTCATTGGTTTAGGAGTCTTGGATTTAGCTCTATGAAAAACCAAATTTTTATTTTGTTTACGATTCCATTTTAAGATAAACTATAGCATTGTAAATTGTACTGTATTTTTACAAATTTGACTACCGTATATTTGGCGCTTGGCAAAAAGAAGTCAAGTGATATATGTAGCTGTTTCTGATTGCAAATTTAGATGTTTGTTTTTCATAAATGAGGAAGTGCGCCTCTCTATAATCGGTGGAACAAGACATTTCATCCCGAGTTGTTGCCAGTTTTATAATCAAAACGGATGTATTTTAATCCAGCTACCAACAGGGTCTGCTGTTTAATACTGATTTATTTTGATTATGCCAACTTTTCCACTATGTCACACTGATGATAAGGCGAGTTATTGTGTGCTAGTCTCCTTTAGTTCATTCAACTATGATATTTTTTAATTAAAATAAGCAACAGCATATAGATGGGATATGTCAGCAAGTCATGGGTTTTCCAAAGACTTGATTCAATAATAACATCAATACCTCACTAGGCTTCAGGCTTAGGAACACCAAGGATCTTGTAGTTGATGCAAGCCTTTCAGTCAATGTCTGTACAACTTGTGCCAAATGAGGTCCCACCCATACCACCTGCAAAAATAAACTTTTTGTCATTCAGCAACAAAAACAGCTGTTTTCTCTTCAATACATGCATTGAAGGTCTAAAGTAGCTATATTTTTCTCCCTGGGACTAGGGAATAAGCTGGAGTCAATGACGTCAGCAGAAAATGTTGCTCACTAGTTAACTTTGACTCTATAAGCAATCGGTGTAGAACGCATCAGTCATATCGATTGTTTGTTTATTGTTGCATTGTTGTCAACTGGATTCAAATTTGCTTACCTTAAATCTAAGATTATGAATGACACAGGAAAATTTAAAATTGCACTGAAAGCCCAAGAATTTCACAAAAACTACTGATACATCAATAGTTCAACATATCGATATCTATCGATAGTATAATAGACACGATCAATTGCAGTACACAAAATTATTCAATACCGGTACCTTACTAAACAGTGAACAGCTGTGTGTTCAAAATAGAAAAATTGAAAACAAAACTGAAGTCACTTTGGGAGCTTATCTTCACATGAAAAACATTTTTGTTTTGTCCCTTATGTCTCATCATGACACAACTTTTTTAATCCACACTTGAGCATTTGAGATAAAAGAACCCTAAATGCAGATAGGGTAAGTCAGTTGACCAAACTCCTAAAATTTATGTGGATATATCGGGTATTAGACCCATAACTCTTGCGCCGAAGTACATAATGCTAGCCACTAGACTAACAAACACCTCTTTACTTTCAGGAAGAAAAAAAATAAGATTTAAGGTTTCTTTATGGAAGTTAATTGACAGTCATATAGAAAGTACCAGAATCATAAGTGTAACTTCTATGGACGAAAACAACTTGTATGGTAACTGGTAACTTACATCTAAGATTAATAATCAAATATATTTTAAGTACCTGCACTAGTAACTGCATTTTCTCTATGTGCTTCACCACAAACTCTTCAGATTCTGTAAAAACAAACATAACCATTCTGCTTCCGTTAAAATGCAAAATATAATCTAGGTACTTAATATTTTTGCCAAGTAATGTGTGCAGAAAGGAAAGGATCCCTCGCATTTTTAATGTGGTATATATGTATAGTTAAATAAAGTGCACAAAAATGTTACTTCTTATCCTTATGCTTTTGTTTCAAAGGTATTCAATTAGCTCTAAAAACCCCGTCTAAGACACTCAAGTAAATGTATATACCAGTATCACAAGAGTTTATGACATTCTCCCCCCAGGAATACAATACCAGTCAACTAGGCTGGCAAGACATCCAGAAACACTTTTGAAAATGAACTAAGGAGAATATGACAGGTAGGGTGACAGTTTTCCAAAAACTAGTTGCTGAGTTTTGGATGTAATATCTTAAATTATCCTAAACAGGTATTAACTTCATTTTCACTGAATCATCAAATAAAACCTTTACTCCTTGAAAATAATGCAAGAGAATTTATTTTACCAAATTAGAAGATAATTAATAATAACTACTTCTCCAGTTGAATATATTTTTCAGTAGGCTAAATTATATATTGCCCCATTCTTCGTTACAGTGTATTTCTAGTAATCAAAATATGATTTTTTTTTTCATTTCATGATTAAAAACAATAGTACAACAGCATAAAAGATAGCTGGATATTATTATTATAACATGAGGTATTAAAACCAACCTGCGTAGCTTGCGATCAACATGGCACACGTCTGATTTTCACATTGAGGAGGTGTGTGCACTCCATTACTGCAGAATTCTTCTTCACAATAGTAGCTGCACAAACAATTTAATTGTATAGTATTCATTGTGGCACTTGGTAGTATTGGAATATATTTTTGATAAAATAAAATGATTACTTTATCCAACCAAAGTTGAGTGTGACAAGTATTTTTGTTCCTTCCTAATATTTGATTCGTCCCTTAAAGAACATCATCAATTCATTTATGCCGTACATTTAGTTTCAGAATCACACAACTACACATCTACAGATAAGAACATGGAAATCGTTGAAGTATTACCAAAAAGTTTTAGCTCAATGTTGAAGAAGAGTTCATCATATACAAAGCTATAAAAAATCGACCCATGCAACATTTTAAATTATGAGACTTTTTTCCAGTCAAATATTATATTTGACACAAGCTACAAATCAAAGAAGTATAAAATAAGAAGAAGGAAACAAACAGAAATATAGGTGGCACTGGAGAGAAGAAGAAACATCATGATAAAACATCATGGAATCAGTGGCAGTGATAAGACAGTGCTGGTAATCCTGTGCAGTTTTAATCAATTTTTATTCCATTTCAATTATTTTATCAACATGGCAAGTTTTAATTATTGTGATTGTGACAGTCTTTTAAAGAATCCATTGACATACCACAATGCATTCATTCAATGTATTTAGGTATACATTCAAAATGTACACATAGATGATGTGGTTGCATATGCATACAAAATTACCTGACAAAGTTTTAAGGAACGGAACTATGTTGTTCAAAGGTTTATTGCGGACATTTTCTATCACGATGATAAAAAACAATACACAACGTTTCGGGATCTGGAATCTGATACCGTCCCCAGATGAAAAAAAAAACTTAACTAACACATTACAACTAACAATACACAAACGCCCAACCCAAGTTGGAATACACTACAGAAGGTAAGCAGTCAAAAAAATCTATGGATGGAAAATGTCCGCAATAAACCTTTGAACAACATTAACTCCACCATCACCAACAATGAATTTCAAGCAAAGAACGGAACTAGTCGTCACACCAACATCTGTGGTTGGATAAGGTAATTATTTTATTTTATCAAATTGTTATGTTACTGTGTGGTTGGAGTTTATGTTGACACTGTTAAAGAGAGGGAACATCGGGGTTCTCCGGCCCTCTTCCTGGATAGTTACCAAAATTTGCTTTGTAAATTCATTGTTTTCCTACATCTTTTTTAAAATTTTTAATTTTACATTTTTACTGCACGATCTGAGAAAAAATTGTTTAACGTGTGGCCTAATACTCCTCACGGGGGCTAAAGACTCTAGTCCACATTGATGAATGTTATAGACTATAAGAAGGAATGCCATATGTGTCATAAAAATTAAATAAACTCATAAGTAACACAATTTACCTACCCAGAATCATTATCTTTCATGTAGTTTTTGAGGAACTCCATCTCGGCATCAGAGAATGTAAACTGCCGAACAAGATCTGGCACAGTAAAGGTTCTCCAATACGTTGGGACATTTCTGTTGTTCAGCAGCAGAATGTGTGGAATGAACCATCCATATCTGTGGGAAACGTGATTTTCATTAGAGCAGCAAAAATAATTTGTATATAGTAAAAAATTAATGTAGAGTAGTAGAGGGAGTAGATAATAACTGGATGAAGTAGATGGAGTAGCATATTGTAATTTATTTGATGAATTTAACCTCCTTCTTATAGATACAATAACATTTTACAACTTTCCGAGTATAAAAGTTTTGGCAACTTTGTCATGTAACATTAGGGTAATGGAAATTGTTTAAAAATGGCAAGAAAGATTAATATTGTACCATTTTACCAGATATACTGTAGAACCAAACAGAAAACGGAAAAGAATTGTAACAAAAAATATTTATAAAAAATGGAATTGAAATTTTCCATTTATAAGAGAAGTACTTACCTGCGTCTAAAATTAACAAAGTTAACCGTTTTAAGCAAATAGCGTTTTCATTAAAACCGTAGGAAACCTCCTTGAGCACTTGATGGTGTTTAAAATTGTATTGTAGGCACATGTTAACTCAATCCTTAGTGATACTGATCAAATCCAGGGACAAACCGTACAGCACATACCTAGCAGGAGGGCCGATGGGTCCGGCTGTCTTGACATACGCGTTATTGTGATCCGGCCACAATAACAAGTCATCCTCAGGAGATATCCATACTTCTGTGTTGAGAGTCGTCTCTGGTGGACTGGAAACAAACAAATCATCTCAAAATTACAAAATAGCTTTTTAATAATTTACGCAACTAAAAATATATGGAGCCACATACAACTCAGCCACATAAGGAAGGAGTAAGAGACACTGGATACAAGCTTATGCGCTTTTAGCTCCGAAATTTTGGGGAGGAAATGGACTTGTAACAAGCAATGAAGAGCCCGAATGGCGATAGCCACATTGCATTATTGTTCAGCAGTTGTAGCGCACAGGGTCAACAGCGTGAGCTCTACGGTACGTGATTAAGGGGGGGATAGGAGAGGGGAAGGGAACGACGAATATAATTAACTCTAGACACCAGCGACTGGTGCTAGACACCACTTAGGTGTACCATTGAATGCATTTTCTGTATCTCACTTCTCTGTGACTCAGCCAATGTACACAAAATTTGATTGTAGGCGTCCCATTCCCATTTTAAACCAGTGTCATAGACTTTTAAGTGTCCAAAATTTCCTATCCTGTTATAAAATCCCAAGACTCTATGTGTGTTTCATATAGGAACGTTAAGATTGTGCTGCAATTTTGACTAAACCATTCCAGCACCTGTGTAGATTTTACAGTTTGTGCTTTATTGTTTGGTTACAATACCAGAGAATAGGCTTCTTTTAGTATGATCTATACTAGTATACTTAAGTGTCGTAAAAACAATGGTTAAACACACTGCCAACTCACCTATTCTTCAGCCGATCATGTTCATCAAACACCGGAGTCAACCTAACTCGAGCCGCATAAGGTTGGTCCCAAGGGTCATTTCGTTCCCGCAGGACAATATCCGGATATCCCAGCCGTTCCTCCAGGAATATCTTGAGCACATGGGACGTTATCTGATGGGTTATTCTGCGGGAGACATCTAAAGTGATCGGAAGTCTTTCCCAGTTGTACTCCTCCAGCTTCAGATATCTCTTGGGGTTCACCTCTGAAAGCATAAATGATGTGAGAAAACGTTATTTCACATAGAAAAACTCAACCATTAATGTAATTGATAATTTTGTCATATTACTATTGCTTTGAGTTTGTAACTTACTTCATTATTTGTTAATACTACCCCTGACTATTGAAATAACTATACATTATATCTTGATGTTTAAGTTGTTTCCAGTTTTAGATTGTTAAATACAGCCACCGACACTGTGTGCTGATATACGTAATTACTATTTCTGTTGAATTTTTTAATATCTTATAACCAAGTATTTCTTCTTATCATGTTTGATCCAAATATCATCAAAATTTTAGTTTTTATAAGAGTTAGTGTGGCCACTATATAAACTAGGTTAGTATGGATTTGTACCATGAAGACTACAATGACAGTTACCTACTAGTAGGCTTCTGCCTCCTCATAGGCATAAAATAACAGTAGGCCTAGTGGCAAAAATTTGAAAAAAAATCTTATAAGTTTCTTTGTTTTATCCAAAATAAACTTAAAGAATACCTAAGCATATCACAATTTTTTTAAACGTTTTTTCTAGCTCGCTTTCTTGTCCGGTACAAATTTTGCAACCGATATTAAACCATAGCTTCCCGATGAGCTGGACACTTGAAACTTGAAACATAGCACACAAATGGATGACGCAATATTAAATCATTTTATTTTCATATTTCCCTTGGAATTCGCCCCATGTTCTTCCAAAGTTTCAATGTTTACATTTTGAAAGAATGTAAATAGTCAAATATATCAATTTATTGAAGTCAGCTGTAAATACTTCGATTTGACAGTTCAAAGAGCAGAGGTTAAGAGGTGCAGGTTCTGCTCCCAAGAGATAAAAAATATATAAATATAAAACATATCTAAATATAAAACAAATTTTAAATAAAGAATATATTTAACATGTTTACACATTAAAGACTAAAAAGTATAAAATAATTTATAAATAAAAACAATTTAAAAAAATGCAATGTTCTTAAACACACTAAAAAGTACAAAATAATGTATAAATATGTGAAGAGAATAAATACTTGTTAAGATTTCAAACAAAAAACGTGGGGTGCATGTAATAGATAATAAGTTCAATAGGTGAAGGTAATTGTAAATTAGCTATTGCATGCACCCCACGTTTTTCGTTTTAAATCTTACAAGCAGGTATTTATTCTCTTCACATATTCATAAAAAAATATGTTATACTTTTTAGTGCTTTTAAAAATGTTGCATTTTTAAAAAGTGCTTTTATTTATAAATTATCTTCTTTAAAATAACATGAAATAAATTTACTGATGTAGGTAAACAATTTTTTATTTTGTTCCCGTTAAAATTCTTGTTATTGATATCAACACATCTTAAATTCAAAAAAATGAACAATAAAACCAAAGATTAGCATACTCCGTCTATGATAAAAGATAAAACCCGTTGGTAATTTATACAAAATAATAAAGTTTTAACACAAATCAAAACGGGATTATAATCTTAAATTACTTATTACAATTTTCTGAAAACCTTTTAATTTGATTAATGTTGTGTATGTTGTTGATAAAAATAATAAATTAGTGAATTACCTGGTATATTTAGCAGGCATTTTGAATGAGCAAATTGTAGTAGATTGAAAATGATCAGTGTTGCCACCAACAGCAGTCTCCAGCGAACCTCCATCACACCTGCCAACATGACGAAAATTAATTTCCGGTAATCGTTGGTCATATATGCTATTTTTACCCAACAAGTATCTTATTTTAACAACTTTAGTGTTATTTTAATGGTTTTCTGGTGGAGGATCCAGAAAAACATCCCCCTTTTCTACCTAAATTTTGTGAAGGACAACTGTATAAATAGAAAGTATTTTGTAGCATCATAAAAAGGGCTCATCAAGCAAAATGTTCAATTTCAGAAGTTGGGAAAGCTTGAAACAAAATATATATTTTGTATAAACTATTTAGTGTGTGTACATTTTGTTTTGTATCCACGAAAACCCTATTTTTCTCTAAATCACTAACAAATAGATCCTTTCTCAAAAATATTCTCAAAATAACTATAGTTAATGTTATATCACACAGATTAAAATATGTCTATACTCATTTTATCTATGGTTATATCTACGACACTGGGACGATTAGGAAATCAATACAAATCACAAGTCTAGCATAGTCATAAAAAAAGTATTAAAAAAATTAAGTTTGTGCTTGAATTGTAAAATTTATTGCAACTACTTATTTTTAAAAGGATCTCGATCAAGTAAAGATTTTTCAAAGCGAGTCAAGAACAATTTCGAGCAAGTTATTTTTACGTTGTGTAGGCGGAGTAGTAGGTGTTCTGAAGAGGTTCATAAAGTGTGTTTGTACTTTTGTCTATTGATGAAAGGTTTCGCATCTTCATCTTCATCTTAACAGACTTACTAAAAATGTTTTACTATAAATATATCTTGATCCGTTATTGGTTTGACGTTTCTTCAACGAAACAATTTTTATTCATTCTATATAAAGAGGTATAAGATGATATTAACAATAAAACTTTTAAATAATAATATTACATCAATACAAATTTTGTTTTCTTGGTATTATTACATGTATACTAACTGTGGGGTGGGGTTAAAAATTAAAGGTGGCGATTTGGGAAGTGAATATCGATTAATTTCCTTGAAAACTGAACTACGTATAGGCCTATATATTTTCAATAACTTATTTGGTTACTTTCGATTTTGAATTGCTATAAAAATAATTAAATTAAACATTTTAAAAAAGTAGGCCTAACGGAATGCCAATAGAGCCTCAATATAATTTCTAGAGAAAAGTACATATTGAGAGTAAAAAAATAAATGTAAGGCCCCGGCCACACGAGGCGAATTTAAGCCGCGCGGCTTATCTTCGCGCGAAGTTAAGCCGCGCGAAGTACCTGGCCACACGGGGCGGATGAACCGCTTCCTGTTGGGTTTTCCCAGTATCAGTACTTTATTAAAACATAGTTCAGTTCACTCTTTTTAGTCATGGGCGAAACACTTATGTTAGTTTGTGCATTAAAAGCGTGTGGTGATCTGGAACGTTAACATAAATCATTGGGTCCATCCCTTCATAATGGAAAAATATTTTTTTGTGTTCCAAACCTTTTACGAGCACATGCGAAACCATAGTTCGGAGTTCATATGTATCAAACATTGTTTGAACACCACACAACCGGTAAAAAATACACAAAACAAACTCAAATACCACTGGAAATGTCCGAAGAATATCTCCAATGAGCGCGGCTGCCGCGCGGTCGAACCGTATCGTGTGGCCACTCTCATAAGACTACGTGTGTCATCCCCTCCAACGCGGCTTAACTTCGCGCGGTCGGGGGACGACATGCTGCGGCTCAACCGCACATGCGGCTAAACTTCGCCTCGTGTGGCCACTCTCATTTGATTCAATGTGTTGTCGAAGCCCTTAACTTCGCGCGGCTTAACTTCGCGCGGTTGAACCGCCTCGTGTGGCCGGGGCCTAATACTAAATGTTATAAATGCAATTACAAATAAAAGTGTCAAAAAACGAATCAATAAATTATTTATTATCTTATAAACAATTTGCATATTAATCTCAGGTAATTGCCGAATAAGTGAAAACTTGAATTGTCTTCAAGTATTACTGATTCTTAGAATTTTAAACGTACCATAGTATTTAAAACATATATAGAAGTGTTTATGTAGGAATCTAATCATTTATCAAATTTATACACGATTTTGAAAGATGTAAAGTGTAATTTCTAAATTGCATTCATTGGGAAATCTGTTTTTTTTTCTATCCACCCCCTTTCAGATTAATACAACCTCTTAGTTACACATATCACTACAGAATAGTTTCTTCTTCCCTCCCTCTTTTTTTGTGTTTATACTCTATGTACTGGAACCTAACTCCAGACCCCTTAGCCCCGGTATACCTTATACCTAAGGGAATGGTTAACCAATTGTTTAGGGCCCAACCCAGTCCCAGGTAGACGAAGGGTCAGAAGACAGGTTCCATCATACAGACTATAAAGTCACCAGAGTTAGTAAAATAATCAAAGGTCCTTAGTTATGGCTGAAATGATCAAAAGACGTATTTATCAGATGCAGGTTGACAGTGTAAGTGGTACAGTAGTTTGTATCAAAGGGGAGAAAGTAAGGCGCCGTCTCGGTCTCTTCTTTGATGTTCGCTCTCTCTTTATCTTTGACGTCTGTCGTCTTTGTCGTTTGTGTCTAGGACGAAATGTTGAAAGTTCTAAGAGGAATTAAATCTCTTCCATTTTAGGGACTAAAAGTTGTTCATCTAAATAAGAATTTAGTGCATTCAGCGAGAACAATTTTTGTTTCTTGTGACGTTCCTGACTTGTAAATAAAAATAACAAGTACTGTACAATGGAATAAAGATCTGAAAAATATACTGCTTGTCATAGCTATACTTAACCCTTAAACATCGAAGGACTATATTAAAACACAAATGTATTTCAAGTTCTATGGTTGGGTAGCTGTTAAGGCCCTCGTATCCAGAGGGTCGCCCGTTCGAACACGAGGTGTCAGCGATTTTTTTTATTTGATGACGCGAAACTAGGCCCATCTGTCCTTGATCTGCTTGATCATATGTGACTTAAACACATATGATTGAGAGTGAGTTCTCCGAGTGAGATTATCTGTGTAGCTTTGTGAGATCAGCTGTTTAATCAATCAGGATTAAAATCCATATGATCATGCAGATCAAGGACAGTTGGGCCTAGTCTCGCGTCATCAAATAAAAAAAAATCTCTGACATCTCGGGTTCGAACGGGCGACCCTCTGGATGCCTCCGGACTCCATTATATACAAGCACTTTGCATTCATATTCATATTCAGCTTAAAATACACAACCAAGTAAGTGTGCGTGTCTGTTTCAAAGAATCAAATTAAGTAATGTCAGCTGTTTTTTGTCACAAAAGAGAAAAATCAGCTGTTTTTAAAGAAAACACACCCCTCACTCTATTTACACTTATTCACTCATATTTCGATTAAAATTAGCCCAGCTGCGTACCGGTACCCATTTTATTTGGTCATATACCTAATTAACGAATATCAACACCAGGGTATTATACATGCAAATACCATGTATTTTGTAATTATTTACACTTATGACGTAACAAAACTAATTTGTTCACAGAACACTAATCAACTAGGCCTACACTGTATGTTTAAAGATGGTTCATGCCCTTTACCCAACGACTCATTTTGCATTGATTGATTGTCCACTCTAATGAACCTTCCTCGAAACCATCAGTCTTTGTCAATAAACAAATTACATTTGAAATTTGTTGTTAATCAATTTCTCTTTTCTGCAAAGACAAATATTAGCTTAGAAACTTCTCTTTTACTTAAGACGGTTTAAAACCACATTGTTCACCTCTTGTTGGACATTAAAATTACAGTACATAGTATCTTTGTGAAACTCAAAAACAAACTAGTAACTACAATTAATTCTTACGGAAAACTTGTTCCTCGACATAAAATATAAGACGTTGGAAAACAATGTACTGCATCCGTCAAGCTCTTTATTTAACACCTCGGAAAGCTATAAGTGAAGAATTAAAGTGATTTAGTACATTGTTTTACGGTAGTTTGGATGCTAAACAACAATCCCCTTGTATCCATCGGATCTGAGTACTAATTGGCTTTTGTGTATGGATATCAATTAATCAATTACACCAAAAAAATTAAAAATAAAGACCACAGCACGAACTAATATGGCACTTAACGTGAAAACAGTAGCTCCTATGATAATTTAAAAAACAAACAGATGAAATGTGTCAAGAAAATAAATTCACGTACTTATCTAAAAATCGTCCCAAATTGCTTCCTAGTGATTTCCACAAAGTCGCAAACCAACCAGCGAATTATAAAGGTTTGAAGAATCTTTGATTTGCGCAGCTTTGACGCAACCTTGAAACCCAAAGCAAGGTTTATGCAGCTATTCCCGTGCAAATTGGCCGTGTTATTTACAAACAGCACGGGAGTAACGACCTAGTAGACGACCTTGAGTCGGCCTTGTAGTCCGTTATCTGTTATCAACTCCCTCTTCCCCCACCACTCTGGCAAAGACGCTAGGAGTCGACTGCTATAAACGGACAATTGAGGTTGTAAATCAAGTGGTAAAGGGTGAATGTACTTTGTTAGTACATTCGCTATGTGTAATTGATTGTAACATTATTTAAAACTACACTCACTACTTGCACTCCCATATTGCTAGGGGTATAGTATGCATGGTACAAAGTAGTATATTTGTAGACTCTTCAGTTTGATAAATTGTATTTATTGAGCACGCTGTTCTTTCATTCTTCATATATAATATTTTTGGACATTATGAAAATGAAACATCTTAACCTGACCCAACTTGCATTTAAATGTAAATAATAACTTGGGCTGTAAATTGAATACACAACTAAAGAACAACGTATGAACTGACTCCACTCATTGTAGCCAAAAACCAACTAGTTTTTTTACATCTAAATCCAGTTACACCAAAACCAACTAAATTGGTTTTTGGAACATACTGTTTTGGAACATGCTTCATTGGCTACTCCAAATCCTGTAGTACCATGCCCCGACTGAATTAGTTTTTGGAACATGCTTCATAGGTTATTCCATATCCTGCAGTACCAAAAACAACTGAACTGTTTTTGGAACATG